TTTCGTCCTCTTAGGGGGTTATCTGCAAACATGCGCGTGTTACTTGTTCTGTGTTTTAAACGTTTTAATTTTCCTTTAGAGTTTGACAGAAAGGTTGGTACCCCCTTAAGTGCGAACTGGTGTCACTGCCCGGTGTCACTGGCCTGCCTACGGGATTCCAAAGTGTTCTTGTACTATTACACGTCTTTTATTTTATTTTACCGGTAATCCAAAAAGCACAATATCATAACGCAACACAACACAAGAACACTTTGCAATATCATAACGCAACACAGGATTACAATGACACATAACACAAAACACAACGCAACATTGTAACAACGCACTGCAACTATAAATTGAGAAAGGCGGCAGCACGACATTTTACATCTGCTCACCAACCACGCGCCGAACGCGTAACCATACTTAAAAAAATGAAATCTATAACCTCTGAACTCTATTTTCTGCATTTTGAGGGGCAAATTTTTCTGGCACAAAGGGTTTCAGTTTGATTTTGGAGGGGCGAGGCCCCCAACATTTTTTCAAGGGGGGACCCCTCTGCCCCTTGTGCCGCCGCCACTGATTAATCTTGGCCACAGGACCTTCATCACAATTCGGCTACAATTAAATGCATTACACAGCAGTTATGTGATACAAGTTGCAAATAGGACAAAGATCGTCTTTATTGCGCCAATACCAGTCTCTGGATGCTTTGAACTCGAAGACAGCCCTGATAATAAACAAGCGTCAGAGAACTATGTCGATGACGTCATACACCGTATATTATTTTATCTCGTCTTACTATTCAAGTTACTCCAACAATGCCATACCAAACATTTATGTTTTCACTCCAACGAAATTGAACTTTGACATCCGGTTAATTTTTTATTCATTTTTTACGACAACGTAAAGTTTTAGTTGAACTCAATAATAAGGTTTGGGAATGAATGGATGACGTAATAGTGTGATTAGGGATTACCATGAGAAACTATGAGTTTTACAATTTTGAAAACAAAACAAAAACAATGAAACAGAGTACTGCACAGACAAAAGTGAAAAAACAAAAAAAGCATCCGAAGAAAAATCTCCCCAAACTGAAAAAATCCAACGTCATCATTTCAAACATATTTTTACCCTGAGTTCATAATGATCAGCCCCTTATAGAATGTTTTGACGTTCGTTTTACTAAAGGTTAAAG